CTGTTTCTCAAGGGGGGGGGGGGCTTCCTTCAGTCTGTTGTCTCCAGATTAAACACACAGACAACTCACAGCGGGAACCTTTAAATATCTGTGATACAAGTATTCAAGCTCCTATAGCTCAGTTTCAAAGAAAGACACACATTGCTAAAAAGACAGGAAGACAGGAGGAGGGTTTCTGCTGGTGCTGGAAATCCTTAAAACACTTACAAACATGCAACACATTTTAAAGCTGGTTGTATTTGACCTTACTTGTGATTTGATGTTAAGAGGATGTGAATGAATCAGAATATATGAAATGGCATCGATTATTGTACACTATAATGAAATAAAAAGACTTGTAAAAAAAAAAAAAAAAAAATGCTTGAAATTGTACGACTGTCAACTTACAAACATGCAACACATTTTAAAGCTGGTTGTATTTGACCTTACTTGTGATTTGATGTTAAGAGGATGTGAATGAATCAGTATACTGTTTGTATTATGGTTTCGACAAAAGATGTAAAGGCCATGGAAAGCGCTTGACTTTGAAAGAAGTGTATGAAAAATAAGGAAAGAAAGAGAATTGAAATGTTTTTGTTTGTTATAGAGGATTCTGAGTCTTCTTACAAACATGGGACACATTTGTTTTAACTTAGATTTGTGTTTACTTTGTCACCCTTCTGTATATTTGCCATCACGAAACATCCTTTTGGTTATCAGTAGCATGATAAACGCACCTTAAGAGGGCTTGAATTTGAAAATACAAATCGGATATACATTTTGTGCATAACACTTTAAAATACAGTCAAGCAAATTGAGATTTGAAAAAAGTCAATCTGTAAAAAGTACAATGGCCATGTTAGAGTGCATTTCAGTGCAGTGCATTGTGGGAAACGTTCTGCAAAAAACTCCTCTTGCTAGACCTGAACATTAAATCTCTTGCTGTGGATTTTTCACTGTATTCTCTCTGCAGTAATATCTAAATCTGTTTCCCCTGCAGCTGTTCGAGGTGCTTCACTTCCTGGCGGAGAACTTCATCTTCTCCTACATGGGCCTGGCTCTGTTCACCTTCCAGAACCACATCTTCAGCCCCATCTTCATCATCGGGGCTTTCGTATCCTTCTGAACAAACGTGCACTTATAATAATAATAATAGCTTGGATTTATATAGCGCCTTTCATGAGACCCAAGGTCGCTTTACAAAGCAGAACAGGAGTAGGAACAAACATAACAAAGCAAAAGGCAGTCAGACAAACAGTCAGACAGACAAAAAGTCAGACAGACAAAACAACAAATAGATTAGGGGCCAAAGGCCTTAGCAAACAGATGGGACTTGAGGGCCCTTTTGAAAGCGTTAAGCGTGTTGCGGATCTCCGCAGGGGGAGCGTTCCAGAGGGTGGGGGCTGCCACACTGAAGGCTCTGTCCCCGAAGGTTCGCAGGTTGGTGCGGGGGGTGGTAAGCTGGCCAAAGTCTGAAGACCGCAGGTTCCGATCTGGCCGAGGAGGAGCATGTCAAGGGTGAACAGGAGGGGGCCAAGCACAGAGTCTTGGGGTACACCGGGATTGACTGGGGCCGGGGTAAATTTGAGCTATTGATGGTTACAAACTGTTCCCTGTTATGGAGGTAATGACCAATCATGTTTGAACAGGCATCCATGCCGCCCTAACAGTCCGTGTTGAAAGCTAAAGATGCTACCAGTTCAATTCTAACTTCAATTTTTGGTTTGTCTCAGGTTATATAGTCGACTGTGAACAATGAACGATGCACCAAGAGGAATATGTAATTCAGGAATTATATATTTACAGGCCGACAAGGAATGTAATTTATTTATATAAATGTTTATTTGTTAAAAGATGAAAGAATAAAGATACAGCAGGTTGGTTAACAAACTACTGAGTTCTTAAAAGATTTTAAAGTCAAGAGTTTCTGATCTGCAGAGATAGGAAATCAAAGCACTAAAGGAGGCCTGGCTCCTCCAGACTGATCACACACTGCGCTGACTGACTGACTGCCTGCCTTCCTCTCCCCCTCCCCAGTGTTCTCTCAGCTCCTGCAGCAGGTGCACACAGCCTGTCGGATGGTGCCCAGCCCCCGGCCGCTCTGCAGCCCAGAGAGAGTGTCCCTCTTACAGCTGTCTGTCTATCTGAAACGCTGGAGCATCCTGGATCTGGGAGAGCACATCTCACGCCTCTCAAAAGAAGGTACATCCATCAGCTTTAAATCTATAGACGTTTTAGTTCCGAGGTAAATAAAGAAATTGTTTGAAAAGGTCAATGCTCAGGGGATTTTTTTAATTCATGGGGACTTTTCTTTGGTAGTATTCACACATGCAAGTTGTAGCTTGTTTGTCAATTACTATTCCTACTGTGGCAATATGACAACGCCCAATTCAAACGATTTTATCAGAATAATCTGAAATATGGAATGTGAAATAATCCCCACTTTTTCACAGTTTGAATAAAATATGTTCATAGATAGATAGAATTGGAGGATGAAACCCTCTTTATTGGTCACACTTACATGCACACAGCACACACAATGTATGACATAACTTACTTATATTTAAAATCTGATAGTCAAGATATTTTGATAAGGCATTTAATAAGTACATAAGACCATATCACACTGAACAGTATTTATTTAAATCTAAATACAAAGTCCTGATCTATTAAAACCCTCTCGAAGATTTTTAATAATTATGAAAAAATGCCTCTTCAATTCTAATTAAAATGTACGTTTTTTGTGTACAGTCTGGAAAAGGTCGTGGGCTGTGACGTGTGTTCCAAGTTTTGCGTCCGAAGCTCATTTTAGCGATTTTGTGACATTTAAATCGTCAAAAGTGGTACATTCTCCGTTAGCTTACGAGCTCCCCGTTTGAGCAGTCAACTATTCATTCGCAATTTAGCATCACATTGGATATGGACTGATCTTGTCCTGGTTTCGAATTTGTCCGATAATTTCCCTAGGAGAAGTGTGCAAAAACGCACTTAAAACGCACATTTTTCAAAATGGCCGACTGGGGGGCGGGTATAATGGAAGCCATTTTGAAATATGTCCGCAATTCCATGAGGAATGTCTGTGCCAATTTTCGGGTAGTTCGGAGAAACTATATGTGACTAACGCACAATAGGGGGCGCTACTGAGCCGTATTTGCTAAAACGTACAATTTCTTTGTACAGTCTGGAAAAGGTTGTGGGCTGTCATCAGTGTTCCGAGTTTAAAGGCCGTAACTCATTTTAACACGAAGTTATGTGCCCGTAAGTGTTTTTAACCCTTCGATTTCGAGAAAAAACTGCATAGGACACGCCCACATTTATCATTGGTTACGAAACTTTAAATCATAGTTTATACTCATCCTGCCAGTATATCTATGAAAAAATATATTTATTTCGTCCATCCGTTCTTGAGGTATACATTTGTTGTGTTTTTGGCGCCCCCTATTGTCCAAAGTGAACTTTTTTTTGTTGTCAATCAATCAATAAATGTTTATTTATATAGCCCAATATCACAAATGTTACATTTGTCTCAGTGGACTTCACAGTTTGTACAGAATATCAGTATGACAATACGACACCCTCTGTCCTTAGACCCTCACATCGTACAAGGAAAAACTTCCAGAGAAAACCCACAGTTTAAAGGGAAAAATGGGAGAAACCTCAGGGAGAGAAACAGAGGAGGGATCCCTCTCCCTGGACGGAGAGACGTGCAATAGATGCCGTGTGTAAATTGAAAAGATAATACATTTGCAACATAGGTAGTCCTTGTTGTGCCTATTCCCCAAGACAGACTGAACCTATCCACCGAAATCTGTGATATTTGGATACATTTCAGATGAATTGTGAGCATTTATGTCTAGGCCACACCTTTTTGCTAATACATTTTGATTGATGTTGGACACATTTTTCCAAACCTCGTGCTCATTTTCTACGGTACTGTGTCCGACCCTCCATTGATGCTGTACACTAAATTTGGTGTGGAAAATCAGAAAATGTAAAGGTAAGTTAATATTTCACTGTTTTTCACATTATGCTAATTAAAACTAAATCAAAGTAGGCGGAGCTTCGGGAGACGAGAGGATAATATGTAGAGCTGCTCCACCCGGGTAAGTGTGCCAATATTCAGATCCGTCAGATTTACGCTGCGACTATGTACATTTTTAGAAAACTGCATTTTCACAGGTGGCGCTAGAGAGCGTGTTGGAAATTTTTCACCCATCGAAATCCAGAATGTAAAATGTTTCACCCGTCCTGGCGGCGTTGCCAAATGTCGCTACATGAATAGTGTCGTAACCTCCTCAAAAACAGGTCCAATCTCCAGGGCCCAGGAGTTCAAAACTTTTAATCTCAATCAGATCCGATCAGATTTTGAAATCCCATTTTTTGTGATCCAGGATCAGACAAGTCGGCCAAATTTTGTCCCTGGAGTTCAAAGCAATTCAGGATAGGATCAGCCTGATCCAGATTACGATTTTTCAAGATGACTAGATCCTGAATATCAGTGCTATAATCCTACCGATCGCCATCTAGTGGACATGAAAAATAATACAAGGAAGACAAGAGACCACATTGCAGAGACATCAGTTGTCGGCAATTACTTTTGAAAGGTGATGACAAATTAATGGACATTATTTTTGTTGAAGATATTATTTCTTTAATCTAAATTACATTTGTGATTGAAAATGTTTGTTCTGATACTTTTAT